AACAGCCACACGTGGGCAAGGAAAAGTTTGAACAGAGCCTGAGAAATCTGTAGATAAATTTCTACCAGCTGCAGGAAAATAGACAATAGCAAGTAACTGTCATTCTAATACTTCTCATTCTATCAGCAAGTTCTCTAAATAGTCTTTAAAAGCTCATCTGAAGCTAAACATTGAGTCACTGTTGCCACTTAGTGACTTAACGATAGTATAATTTCTCCTTTTTGGCTGTATCCCAAAACTGCTGCTTTGAGAAATCAAATCTAAGTTCTTTTGTACGTTCGCTGCTTGCATGATTAACACAGATCCTTTTATAGCAACCTTCCACACACTTGCGGGCCTCTGCACTGGTTGGGTCTATAACACCCACGAATCTTAGTCAATGTGGCCTTCATTCCAACTGGGAATTCAAAAAGTTACACTCCCAACACAACTGGGATACACCAGTTAGGAAAGGTTGTTCATGCAATGCCTTCTTGTGTCTTGTGTTCTGATTGATCAAACTTTTTTGAGCCCTGCAAATAAAAGAACTAGTTTTACTTCCAATTGGCTATTTAAAAATGTCTGCTCTGAAATCCTCCACATGCCTTGTACAGATCTCTGCAATGAAATTCTGCATGTTCTAAAGAAATGTGCTTCTTTCTCTTGTCTCTGCTTATTGACTGGGCTGGCACAACCTGTGAAATCCTAATTCTGAGCGAGCAAAGCACACCTATTTTGTTATACAGCACCCTCTGCCCCAATTAATAGACCCATCTGCTAAGACAGCCTCATTTTAGCCTAGTCTAGATTGTTGTGTGAAGCCAATTACTGAGCATGGGCATCTGTAGGAAGGGGGAAAAAATGATAAAATGTGACTTGGGCCTTCATGAGGATAAGTCCAACCCTTACACATTTGCAGGTGACATTGTGATGCAAGTACGAAAGGGTGGAGCTCAACTTGGTTCTCAAATTGTGGAATCACTGTGGTTGGGAACAAGTGTCTATGCCTCGGAGTATCCAACTCCCTCCTTTGCACTCTCTTTAAGGTCCTCCTGTATGGCTTACGCCCGTCTCCCCATCTCCGTTAATCAGGACTGATTTTCAGTTTAGACTATAAATAATGGCTGAATTCAATTGGCAATAAGAAGTGGCAACCTTCTCCAGATATAAATAACTCCTTTTGGCAGATTTCATTCCCCACAACTCACGGTTAACTTAGTAATGTAAAGATCTAGATTTGAGTTATACTATTCAGAGGTGTTCTGCGAGGTGTCACCAAAAAGGTGTTCTGCAAGGTGTTTTTTATGTGCATCCCATAGTACTCTCTCTCTTAAATGACCCCAGCTGGGTTCAAATGAACAGTTGTAAACAGAGTCTCTTGTTTGTGAGATGGGCGGTCATATAAATTTGATGAATAAATAAATAGAAGAGAACATATGTAGCTCCGGGTTGAACTGCGGAGTCCCCCCACACTCACTTGCACTGATGATGTTACCTAGTTGGATAGTGAAACATCTGCAATCAAACAACCAAGCTCAGAGAGCACCAAGGACTCCACAGAATAAATAAATTAAATAAATAGTTACTTCTGCCAAGTGAGCCATGGTATATTCCATGAGACCAATTCTCTAGGTTTGAACCACTAACTAGGCTGTATCACAAACTAACTACGACACACTGAGTGTGTGTTGGCACAACACATTAAGCTAAAATGCAGTTGCCAATTTGTGGTGAACAAAACCACAGTCTTTTTAAAGAAACCAGATAGTCAACTTTTTAAATTACCATTTAGCAGATACTTGGACCAACAGTTTTATCCTTTGTCCAAAAACCAGAGCTTTTTTCCATTTAATTAAATATGCAGAAGGCATTCTAACGTGGCATCAAATGGGAAACTTTAAAGATTGTGAAAGAGAATAAACATTAGAACAGCAGCCAAGCATGAAAAATTATTTGTGTACTCAGTGATGCTAATCTTTTGATTCCACTCATTCTGCTGATGGCCGGAGGGGCGGGGTGGGGATCGATTGGCAAATCAAGTACTGCAATCTATATTTTTGTGTTTTATAAGCCTTATGCTGACTGAGAATCCTGAAAATTGAAATCCCAACACTTCCAGAACTCCCCAGGTTAAAGATGAATGCTTTTAGATACTGAAATAAAACTGCAAAATTGTAATCAAGTCAATAAAATCTGCCAGAGAAGTACTTTGTTCTCACACACTGAGAAGGAAGTATCAAGAAGTTTATAAAAGGTATTTTCTTCATTAATCAAGATTACATCTTTCAATTGGTCTGCTGTCAAAACTCTGTCAATAAAATGCTTTTATTTAATCCAGGCAAAGTCTGCCTGAGATGGAACTTACGTCTCCTGATTTAAAGAATTTTCACATGTATCCACACTGTAAACAAAAAAATTATCATCCACAAATATGAATAAGATTGGCCTGTGTCTGGAACAAAGTGGAAAATCTTTATTTACAGTAGCTTTAATACAACAGTGATATTGGTTTCACAAATTGAGTTTCATAATTTGCTCACCTCTTCACCTTCACGAAGAAAAACAGCATGTGTTTTTCACGCAAGCTTCTGTCATCTTGATGGAATTCCATCAGGTTCCTGAGGCCTTTCCACACCTTTTACCATTGTGCTGCCTACACAGTTATAGGATCCTTTTGAAGATTGCTCCCTCATGGATAATTTTCAAGAGATGATTGGTCTATCAAGTATGTTAGCAGAAAAAGAAGGCAATCTTATACTTTGGTGGAATGGAGAACTCTCTAATTCTTGTCTGTCAGTGCTGGATATCAGGCCAATTTATACCTGAAGAAAAGTCATACTGGATTTTCACAATATAGACATATTTGCTTTATGAGCTCTAATTGATAACATTTTATACATGTGTATAGTTTTTTCCCAGCTGATACAATTAATTATTTCAAAATTCTCCAAACTCTCACTCAGTACAAATCAGCGTGCCATTTAATAACTTGATACTGTCATTTAACTTCACATCTACTCTGATGGCGAGTTCTTTTTGATAAAAGGTAGCTATTCTTCTATGATTTATTTGGTTCCAATAGCCTTTTGAGTGTCTGAAAGTAAAAGAAAGAATATGACTCAGTGTACTTTTCAGAATCTTATAGATTTGCCCCAACTATGTCAGATAAACCATTTAGATCTACCATGATCTTGAAAGATAGAATGTTCATTTGAAAGAACCCCAAACAGATATAGCTCCCCAAATTGTCCCATAACTGTTGAAGCATTAATATAGAGGTGAGCAACCTGAGTCTCAGAGTTTCACAGGCTCCCCAAAATGTAAGAATGTCCCCCAAAAGCTCTTGCAAAATTGCCACCAAAGATTAATTTTGAATGGGATCATGGTTATTCAAACTATGGGGTGAAATTGCATGAATTGTATTTAATTCATTACATAATATAATTGCGTCATTAAATACATCAGTGATATTACATTATTTAAAATGATTTTAGATTAAGTATTTTAAAGATATAAAATCTTATGTTTCCTCTAATATAAACTAAAATTATATTCAAATAAAATAACAATTAAATAGAATTAATTTGTCCAGCCCTACATATTTGTTTTGGAATGTAGCCTCCAGCTGCCAACCCAAGGCCTAGTGTCCTGTCAACCCCCCCAAAACTGGACAAGCACTAAGAGTCTTACTAAGCTGTACTGCACTTAATTACACCACTTAGAAAGTTTAGGTTATATACTTTAAGTTATATTCCATCATGCATTTAAAATAACCAGTAATGATCAGAGCAGGGGGGTCTTCAGGGGGAGATCACAGTGTGATTGAAGACCCACCCTTTTTGACTGTGTGGTGATGGCCACTTTCTTGACTATTTGACACACACTTCCTTACAGACACCCCTAGATCAGAGCTGTATAGATGTCACATTCTAGTGATCAAGGAAGAAATAGTGAAGAAAGACTCCACATCAAAAAGATCTGTCCGTACATGTGAATACATACATAAATGGAAAAACCCTCCAGATAGCACTCAAATCCAGATTTTCCATGAAGTCTTCCTTATCAACCAGATCTGGAAGGAAGGTTTGGGATTTTGTATAGCTGCAAAATACAGAAACTCACCCTAATATTGGGTTCTTACTTTCAATATTGATTAAGAAGACAATGGTAATTACCTCTTTAGAAGTAAACCTAGAACAAAGAGGTATTCTCTGTAGCTAACCAGATATGCCCATCCCAAGTATTACATTCTGATTCTCTCGTGATCTACTGTTACCCCCAAAAAACCCAATTCTGCAAGCATTCCATGGCCACTGAGTTCACTATTAGGGGTACAACAGAGATGGAGAACGTTAGACCTATGGGCCTAATCCAGCCAGAACCACCCCTTTTTCAAAGTTCCAACTCTTCTCCTGTCCTCTTCCCACCAGTCCCAACTATAAGAATCGAACAGCTACAAATATGGCTGTAACAGTCACTAAATGCCTTTTGTCAAGGAGCATTAGAAGGACCATAGGTGAAGTGACCCATTGTCTCCCTCAGAGAACACCAAACAGCCCAGAACATTGAAAACCACATTTTCAGCACAAAGAAACAAAGCATGGCTTGTTTCACTTATCCTACTTCTGTTCCAGACAAGGGAGATCTCAGCAATGCCATCCGAAGCTTGAGGTCAAATCTGGCTTTGACGCTGATTCGGTTCCTCACCCTGCTATGTAGGATTGGGAGCATCATTGTTTGCTTTTCCAAAACCCTATGAAATGAAATTTCTGTATGTCAGACTGTACATCATATCAATAAAAATAAGACCATTCCTGCCCTTAAGCTTACAATCTAAAACATATGACACAAGAGAAAAAAAGAAATGAAGGAACACAGGGCGCCATTCTTAGTAAAATAATAATGTTTATGATGACTAACTAGAACAGAAACCATTGGTTTCCGTTCTAGTTAGTCATCATACAAATTACTAAGCAGAACCTCTGGCTCATGGACCAAATCCAACCCATTTTTTTTGCTCCTTCTCCAAAACTCTGTGGTCTTCCAAAACCCTCTTTCCCCCATTACTGGTTAGCATCATGGAGTGACTGCAGTTGGAGCCCATGAAATTTACCCAATTTCATTTTCACTCTGTTGCAACTTTCTACAAGCAGCTGAGGGAAATCCAGGGAAGCAGAATGGAATAGCATTCTGCATATGATCTGAACTCAAAAAATAGCAAGGAATCATTCAGTACAGAAGTTTCATTTGTCCATTAAAAAAAATGTGAATCTTAAAAGTATAATCTGCTTCTAGCCATAGCTTGGGGATCTGGGTTTTCTTTAATTGGATATCAGTTCTACTTTTACCATTCCAGACACACTCTTACTTGGATGTTAAGCAGGTTAAGGCCTTCTTAGCCTTGGACTGGGAGACCTCCTTGGCACACCAGATGGTGTATTGCAAATGGGAACTGTAGTTCTGTGTTAGAATACATGCATCTGGATGGAGGAAGCCCCAGGTTTAACTCCAGGCTTCTCCAATTAGACCTTCTAATTATGGGATTATGGGAGGATGCTACCAGTCAAAGTAGTCAACACTGAACTAGATGGATATGTTTTCTGACCAACAGAACATGATCTCTTACTTTCCTCAAACACACATTAGCAATTCCTTATGCAATTAAAGTTCTAACTGAATCTTTCTCTATGTGGCACATGCCAAATATGCCAAAATTGCAGGGGTAGTGTCAATACATATAAACACACAAAATTAGGATGGAAAGATGTACACACATTTTAAAAATTCACACCCTGGATTCAAATAGACCTAATGGTGCAATGCTTTGGTTTCCAGACCTTTTTCTAATGCATTTTAAGGACAATTACCCTTTTCCAAGGTTGATACACACAATTTTAAACCTTAATCCCTATATATCTTTAAATATTTATATTACATACAGTCATACACACACGCACATGCAAATTGTTAAACAGCCATATTGAATTTAATGTTTTAATTTGCATACACAATTAGAACAAGGATGAGAATACATAATAAATCTATAGCATTCTGAAAAGTAAACTATCCAAGAAACTCTCTCTCTATCCAGAATTTCTTCCAGGGGGTTTACACCCTTGTTGCCTGCAAAAATCCTGAAAATATTTACAAGAATATATATAAGGCATTTCTTCGAAGTATACATTGAAAATAGCCTGTTGTGTGTGTTGTGAAATGGCTGAGGAAATGTGGTCATCTTGGTGTGTTTCTCTCTATTTGCTTTTAACTACCTCCAGCCACCATCTGGACAAACGGAAATGCAATACCGCTACGTGTGTGACACAACGCTTGGCAGACTTCCTGGTCCGGTCCAGCAACACCATCGGTGCCATCTATTCACCCACCAATGTAGGATCCAACACTTACGGGAAGAGAGGCAGAGAACCTCCCAACTATCTACAGCTTTAAGAATACAAGTTGGCAACGGTTGCAGCTCTCGCTAGAAATTCCTCTTCCTGCCTCTGGTTCTCATGTACAAAGTCCTGGTCCTCTTAGTTTTCCATACTAGTTCATTTTGTTTCAGCAAGGCAGCCATTGTGGCCAGGAGCTTGACGATTGGGTTGTCTCGGTGACCGCTTTGATCACTGGGCTACCTGCTTATTTTTCATGGTGCCTTGTTTTCCCTGTGTGTATTTGATGGATGTGATTTCCATGGATTTGTCACACTGCTTTGCTGGAAGATGATTTGCAAAGGGGGTCCCTGTGGGTGCTGCTCGATCCGTTGTCAACATACTTGTGAAATCCCTCTGTTCAAATAAAAAAGGGGGGAAAGATAAATAAATCTCATGAAACCCATGCCACACGAAATCTGAACATGTGAATGAGCTGATAGTATTTGGTTTTTCTTTTTCTTTCTTTTTAATTAAAAGGTTTAAAAGACAAAGTGTGAGAGGTGTATGTCTTCGCAATATTATCTGATGGGGAGGGGTCAGCCTGACTCACACCAGCTGATATATAAATAATTATGTATTTATTGATAGATTTCCTTTTCCTCCAGGAACTCAAGGTGATATACAGTACATAGTACTCCTTCTTCCGGGTTTCCTCACAATGACAAACTTTGTGTGGTAGGTTGGGCTGAGAGCTGGGAGAGAATGACCAGCCCAAAGTCACCCAGTGAGCTTTGGTGGCTCAGAGTGGGCTTGAACATGGGTCCCTGTTCCTAGTCTAGCACTATACCAATACACTACCCTGGCTCCTTGGCTGGGAGAGAATGACTGGCCTAGAGTCCCTCATGGCTGAGGAAGGACCAGAATCTGGGTCTCCCAGTCCTAGTCCAGCACCCTCACCACTACCCCACACTGGTTCTGGAGCTCAGAGTGGACTAGAACCTGGGTCTCCCTGATCCTCGTCCAAAATCTCAACCACTACTCCATACGGTAGAGAGCTTGTTCTCCAGAGTTAACCCTGTCAGTGTTTCCTAACCCAAGCAATTTCCAGATGTGCGGATTTCAACTCTCAGAAATCTAAGAGTTGAAATCCACACGTCTGAAAATTGATCAGGTTGGAAAACACTGGGCTTTGTAATCCAAACAGTATCATCCATGCTAAAAAAAAAAGCCTTGGTTAACTAAATGCTGATGATTTCTTTAAAAAAAAAAAACTTTAAGGGGTAAGGGATGATTCCTAGCTCGATGGATCCAACATAATCAGCACCAGTAAAATGCTGATTGACTAGGTTGGGAGAGCAGTAGGCAATTAAGAAGGACAGAGGAAGGAGCAAAATGGAATATCTTGGACATGTTACGTAAGAGCACTGCACACAACTGAGAAGAATGGGAGCTGTAGTCCAAGCTTTAAGAAGGCATCAGTTTGGGGAAAAGCTATGTGGAAAGAAGGCTGAATTATGTTAAGGAAGAGATTATCCTTAACAATACATTGTGATGGATGAACTCGATATTATGGTGATCTGATTTCCCTTTTTCATTTTAAATTAAATGCAACAGCTGGAGCCACAACCCTCCTAATCCACAATCTAAGGCCAGGAACTCAACAGGCCTCAATGAAAGATGGCCATTCAATGACATCTACTCATGTTCTTGAAGCCATCTCTGCTAATGGACATGTCTTGCAGTTGCAAATTCCACAAATTAACCCATTATGAGATGTAGGACAAAGGATAATTTCCAGGTGCACAAACAGGAATCTTCCAGGAATCAAAATTAGCTACTAGAGCCAAGGAAGCTCTCTATGTATTATGTGACACAAACTCAGACTTACCACCCACCAGGAATGGCTTTCTGAGTTGTTCCTCTGTTTGATGCAAGTCTCATTTATATGATGGAGCTTAACCAGTGCTTCACAACTGAACTACAACTCCCAATTGCACTCACCATCAAGGCTACTGGTAAGGCAGAGTCACTATGTGAGATGGGCAGCTGTACAAATGTGATTAAATAAATAAACTAAAAAAAAGCAAGCAAGCATGCTGGGAGTTGTAGTTTACCTCAGTTGCCTTCCTTTACTTTGTCCCTCAATAACTTACTGTTTTGAGCTTTCCCCACCTTCCCATTAAACCAGTTTCCTCTGTGGTGTAAGTTAGCACATCTTAAAGATTTAGTCCAATCTTCCACTTGAGGGAATTGCTTTTTGCACGCAGGAAGCTTTTTATGTTAGAAATGGGCCATAGCCGCTCTTGTAGGCACCAAATCCAGAATTCTTCCTCCTTGTCTGACATATTGTATGAAACAGCTTTTTAAACAGCTTTAAGTGAACTATGGCTCTTTCTAAAATAGGAGCCCTGGCATATCTGACTGGAAAGAAATGGAAGTTAAAAATGGGAAAATGAGAAAACAGGCAAAGAGAATAATTCATTTTCCCTCCCCTTAAGAAATACAAATATCTCAACTTTTCTTAATCATCAATGATATTCCAACTTGCCATAAAGCAGGCAGGATACAGTATGGGTAGAGCACAGTCAATTCAGAAATTCACGAAATGAGAAAGAGGGAGAAAGAGAGAATCCATTTAATAAAGCGAAAGATTCCAAAGCCCAATTTATAACCCTGAACGGTGACATATTCATAAAAGGTAGAATTTATGCATGTTTGCAGTGAGCCCCATCGGACAAAAATAACTTCCCTTCAAAATGACTCAAATTAAAATGAGAGAGTAGGTGCAACATTCAGAAAGCAAAGGAAAGGAAAGCTCTTTGCGTGATGAGCAAAGGAAATTAAAATCTCTTTTCTGCTCTCAGACAGGAGTCTAGAGCTTTTTGCAAACCCAGCATGCACTTTATCAAATAAATAAATAAATAACTATACACACACCACAAGAGCAAAGCAGTCCAGAATCTTTTGGAATTAAAATATCAGCTTTGCGACAGTTCGAGAGCTTGGGTAAATTCATAGAGGTGGATAGTCTGCACTGAAAAGATTGTTTAATTATTGCTTTGATTTTTAATGATTTTCTTAAAAAATAATAATATTCTGAAGCTGCTCTCAAGAAAAGCTGCTCAGTTCAACAATAAAAACAAATGCATTGCCAATATTCACCTCACAAGCTTTTTTTCCTTTACAGAAAGAAACATCCAAATTTTTGTACTATTTTGTATTTGATTCCAGAATATAGAATAAGTAATGAGACTGTATCTATTGTTTAAAATGATATTTGGTCATAATCTGCTTTCCGATTTCCCAAATGTTTTCCTTCTCAGTAAAAGAGGCTTCTGTTTTTCTACACTGATGTCAGGATGCTTGAGAATTTCTTTCAAATTTCTCCTGAGGGTGGTTTGAAGCTTCATTTACTAATGGAGGTGGAAACGGAAGTTGTTTTCCGTTCCACATTTTTCTATTACTCTGAAGACTCTGCCTGCCTACACTTTTCAGTCTGAAAAAGGCACTGATGAGGACTTTTTTTCTCTTTAGATCTTTCCTTGGGAGTGAATGGAAGTGTGAAAAGCCAAGAAAGCTGTAGATGGTTGGAGAGATAGGAAAGATAGGACATTCACATGTATTACATTTCCTGCACGAGAATTTCATCAACATTTTCTTCTCCTTGGAAAGATACATCCAAAGCAAATTCTTGTCCATCAAATGGGATGAAAAGTAGAATGCAGAAAAATATTTCTGCACTACATCAATGTATTAACCAAAAATACAAGTGTGCCTTGTTATTCAGCTGCAAATAATGAAAATAGCATAATAGCAAAACTCTGGGCCAATGGGATTTGAGCGTGGGGGAGAGGGGGTTTCACCAAACATATCACCAAAAAGAAAAGGAAAAATAAGGATTTTGTACCATGGCCACTGCCGATTTTCCATTCTCCCATTCCATTTTATTTCAAAGAAAGAGCAAAGAATGAAGAAGTAAAGAATATTTTTGAATATTGTGAATGCTGTATTTTGTTCACAATAAATATTTCCCATCTCCCCCATTCACTTACACTCAGCCACTTGAAAATGAATGCATGGGAAAAACTCTCATACTTCTTTCATTCTTAGCCCACCTCCCTGTTTTGAACCTTTCTTTGGCCGGGGAATCTTGGGATTCTGGCCAAAGACCACGTAGTTCTTGAAAGTCTGAATCCTTGGAGAAGGCCTGGCTATGAGATTGGGAATAATACACCCTGGGGGCTCTAGTGAAAGCCCACTTAGACCATCTGTATAGATTTCCAAGAACAATGGCCGTCTCCGTCATACCTATCTAAGCTGAACGGGTTTCTTTTCGTGCAAACAGAAAGACAAACTAATCTTCGAGGCCTGAAAACTCACGTTATTATATTTCATGCACCACTCACATCTGAACAATCTGCTTCTTGAAAGTCATTACACACGGTGTTAATCTGAAAAGCCAACAAAAGATAACTCAAATCTCAGGGTGAGATAAATCATTTTAAATGCTAATTGATGTGCAACTTTTATTCTCTTTTTGAAATGCTAAAGGGTTCTCTAACAATAGCAGAGATTGAAATTATTCTTCTCAGGTGTGCTGGTTTGTGCCACAATGGTGGGATAATGCTGAACGATTTGGCGTTCTTGGGTACTGCTTAAATTCCTGAATTGTAGATAAGAATTTCATTTTTTCCCCTTTTGAGGGTCCCTAATTGTAGGTTAATGGGTGCTTAAAAAAAGAAACAAAAAAACCTCAGATGATTTATATCTGTGGTGCTTATCTTCCAGAACTCCATTCTAGATAACTTTATGTGCCTCCGAAATGTGCTTTAGGAGCCGGGAGGCACAGAGCAGGAAATTACAAAACATGTGAAAGGCTTGGTCTCCAAATAGAAGCTTGCTTATGCGATCTTCGAGGAGATCCGATTTCTTCTTCTAGAATTCCTGCACAGTCATTATCTTCCCTTTGGGGGGAAATGGACTTAGGAATGAGATGCGGTTACAACTTGTTGCTACAAACAGTACTGGGTATATTCTCAAAAGAGAGAGGATGGACACAGATCACTAAAATGATAACTCAGGAATTACCTGCCATGGGTACCATGGATGCATTTTTACTGTATTTTATTTAAAATCAGAGAAATATATGATGAATAGAATCAAAGAGCTAGAAGGTCATTCAGGCAGTTGAGGTAACCCTCCCTGCTCAGTTTAGGAATATAAGACAATGCTTGAACTCGTCCAGTAAAAGTGGGCTCCACATCGCTCTGTTACTCTAGTTA